AATACAGAAAGTAACCCGTGAATTTGGCAATTGCAGAAACCAACCTAAACGTAGACCTAATGTTCAGTCTACAACCTGTAAACTGAATAAAACGTCTACAGGTCTGTAGATTGAATATGTAGTCTACCATGTAAAATCTATCAAAAGTGGTTTTGTGTATTATTCATTAAGTTTTTTCAAAACTTTTTTTTATGAAAGTTTGTGTTAGTTAATCATAAGTGTCTTGAATGATTTTCAGAAGATAATCTGTTATAATTAGGAAGTTATCAAATTTTTTGTTTGTCTATGTTGTTAGCTTAAAATTTGTAGACGTACTTGTAAGTCTACGTTAAAATTTTTGGTTTGACTATATTGTTTGCTAATAATTGTAGACGTACTTGTAAGTCTATTTTATAATTTTATCAAACATGAAATTTTTGTTTGCTAATTATGTAAACCGTATTTTTTTCGCAGGAGATGGCTCAATTACTCGTTGTATACAGAGAATGAGTAGTGAAAAACTCTAAGATGTGTTAGTGTCAAACTTATGAGTTGTCTTGTTGCTATGGATGTTCTATTATGTATTAGTGTCTCATTGATTTGAATTGTCTTCTATTGGATTTATAAGTCTTTAGTCTGTGTTGAACTTATAAACTATATTGTTGCTTTGGATGTTGTTAATGGGAAAGACTTGTGTTATATTTTTCTCAGTCAAGTAGACTTCTTTGTAAAAAGTCCCAAGTGTAATCTGAAGTGGTTAGCAGCGCAATACAGTGAACAATAAAAAAATCAAACAATAGCTAACTAAAATCAATAACCAAACAACATTGAATTGCTCCAAATGTCTTCAAATTAAATATCCAAAAGAGTATTTCAACAATAACGACAAAAGAAGTCTGCATCTTTGTTTTTGGAGACTCTACAGAAAAGAAGAGAAAGTCCATGATGGCACTCGACTGAGTTGTTGGATAGCCACGAGAATTCTGAATCATGGGTATGACATCCAGAGGGAACTTCCACGGTTTATAGTTGGGCTCTACGTGAAACTTGTTACCCCAAATCCTGCTCAGGAAAACACCGTTGATTATCCTGAGTCTTAGGTGTTATGAGCCAATTTATGAGAAGAGAGGGGAGTAGTAACTCACCACAGATGAGGAATGGACTGAAAACTAGTAGGGAATATACCACTGAACTGGTTATCTTCGATATTCCTGAAGACAGGTGCAACAACGAAGCGTTTTTGAGCTCATCAAAATAAAGGATTCTCAATGAAATCTAAAATCAAAGCACAAAGAGAGTTAACTACAGGTCAGTTACAGGAAGATCCGCGAGATAGATGATAGATCCTGTAAACCTATTGTGCTGGAGGTACCTGTAGATTTGTTATCACAGCAGCAAAACCATTATTAGGCTACACAGAGCAGATTGCAGATAAGATTTCGAGATAACTTACAGTGAGTTCAGATTCATTAGAGTTCCAAAAGAGCTCGGTAGATCTCCCGTCAGGTTGTTGAATGACAGATCCGTGGCAACGTCAATATAATTTGAAGATTAATGGAGTATCTTGCATCTACATAACACGATGGAAGACTCACATTTCTTTGATCTGTAACCCGGAAAACACATTTGCAAGAGGTCGAGATAATGAATTATGGCTCAAGTTCCTAGAAGACAGAGCAAGTCATTAGTTCAGAGATCATCAGAAAGGAATGCAATGTACCATGGATATCCACTTACATGGAGAGAAGAGATGTCATGAGAGGCAAAGAAAAAAGGAGACTCTGAGTCAGATTGTTATAAGCCATGTTTCTGTAATCAACAGACAATAGGAGAAACCTCGTGAACTGCACTCTGCTGGTGTAAGCTTAAATGAAGAATGAACAAAGCTTACATGTGGGTAGCATTTGGAGGCAGGCCAAATGGAATGTCACCTTGGAGGTTATTGAAGCTAAAATCCCTACACACAAAGCATAATCATAGAATTCAATGATTCAAAGTCTCTAACAATCAAGAAGAGGTAAACTTTGCTATACATGTTCTTTAAATGACGGAGATGATGAAGCTGGTTTCCAAGACTTCCCAAAAGACTCAACCCTGCGAGGTTCTCCTCGGTAACCTACAAAGGAGACAAGTTAAGAGACGCAGTTTTAGGAGATAAATGGTATCGAAAGTTTACCTGTTGATCAATCTCGGAGACATAGACAGTTCTCCTGAGCACATCGAAAGCTTACCGAAGTCTGTTATTGAGGCGCTGGGATCTGCAAGTGATGGATGTGTACTCAACAAGTTAAAACTTAGATCTGAAGCTTGGAGGCGAGAGAGAGAGAGAGGCAGCTTTTTTTTTTTAGCTTTTTTGTAATAAGAAAGAATATTTATATGTCAAGTCCTTTTTCTGGTTAGGTTAAAATTCTTTGGTTTAATTTTGGTTTGGTTAAAATTATTTTGGTTAAAATTTTAGGTTGGGTAGACTTCCAAAGAAGTCTACTATAATATTTTTCTTTATTGTTTAAATAGTTTATAATATATAATCAAATTTTTTTTTCATTATATATTTAATAGACTTAGTATATATTTTTTTGATAAAATTGTAATTCACATTTTAATTCATAAATAAATAAATTTAATTATAAAATATTTTTTTTTTGTAATCACCAATTATAGTGGACTAAAAGAGACGTCTACTATCGAAATAGAATTTACCGTAAGTATTGGCGCCAATAGGAAAAAATAGGCTCCAAAATTCATTTTCGTTTCCCGCTTAGTTAATTTTAATTTTAAAATATTTATTTTGATAAACACCAATTAATGTAGACTGAAATAGACGTCTACATATACGTAGACTTTACTATAAGTCTACTATACCCTAAATAATGGCGCTAATATGGAAAAATAGGCTCCAAAATTCATTTTCACTTCCCGCTTAGTTAATTTTAATTTTAAAATAATTTATTTTGGTAAACACAAATTAACGTAGACTGAAATAGACGTCTACATATAAGTAGACTTAATTGTAAGTCTACTATACTCTAAGTTGGTTAAATCCGGTTAGGTTAATTTGGTATAAGTGTGTAGACGTACGGGTAAGTCTACAATTCCGTTTTTTTTTTTTTTTTTGCTTTATTGTTTGAGCAAACCCTAAATGTAAGTAGACTTTATTGTAAGTCTACTATAACCCTAAACCACAAATCTGATACCCTAAATATTTATTTGATAATCAAAAATGTATTAATTATTATATTAAATATCTAAATATAGAAAAAATAAACTTCTCAACATTAGTGTGTCAAAAAAANTACCATTTTGTTGGGAAACCATAACACATTATCTTTCACATGGTTACCAATTCAATATAAATTCTATTAAACTTTTCACTTATATGAAATTTTAATTTATATATTTCATACTAATCTTTATATTGATGATTTATTTAAAAACTTCCCAAAAATTATTTTTATACATTTTTAAAATTAAATTATAAGATCAAATGACGATATAGACTGTAGAATACGTCTACAAAGTAGACTTCTAAGAAGGTCTACAAATGTGTAGACTTCTCTTCATTATGTGTAGACTTGCAAAGGACAGAACCGTAAAATAACTGTCTGTTTTTTTTTTGGTCACAAGGGTTAAGTAGTAACTTCATAACCCCTTTAGGTTGGTTTTGCATTTGACTCAATAATGGGTACACCTTTAGGGTTGAAATGAAATTTTAGGTTGGTTTTGGCAAATCCCCCTAATATTATGTTATTTCATATTCAATTTCAAAAAAAATTTAAATAAAAAAATAATAATACTAGTAGATAGTTGTTGTAAGAAAAATATAATTTTAATATTTTTAAAGCTATGAGCAAAACACTATACCCTAAATCCTAAATCTAAACTCCTAAACCTTTGGTAAATCCTGAACTCTTGGA